TGATGGATCATTTCTCCAATTGGATTAAAGTTGAAGGATCATTTCTCCAGTTGGATTAAAGTTGAGGGATCATTGGAAATAAATTTTTAGTTGATAGACTATAGTTACACATTTTGATGAGTTGAGGGACCAATTGTAATAAATTTTTAATTAAGAGACCATTTTTTCAATTGAGTTAAAGTTGATGGACCATTTTTCTAATTGAATTAAAGTTGATGGATTATTATTATAATTTACTCTAAATTATGAACTTAGCAACCTTTCGAATCTTGCCTGACAAACTCACAAACGACGATGGCAATTATTGGTATGTACTTTATCCTGTTGACAATATTTGCTAGGAGTTGTGATTGGTTGGTAGCGTATATTAATTTGGATTTGGATCCTTACCTGAGTCAATGGAAATGATCCTCCTGATCAAGCATTGTGGACCGTTAGATTTTCATCTAACAGCTATAATTATTATAACTTTAAAGGAACCCCTTGTTTATTATAACTTTAAAGGGACCCCCTGTTTATATCTGTTGAATTTTCATCCAACGGCCCACAATGCTTGGTCAGAAGGATCCTCTCCATTGGCTCATGAGAGGATCCAAATCCTATTAATTTACATTGATGGATATTGAAGATATACCGTGTTTGATATGGTGTAAATATTTGATCAATGTTAACTAAATAGGATTACTTTTAATTATATAATATGCTATATTTTTTTAGATTGACTTACATTTGGTGTCTTTGCCGTGGCAAAATATTTCATATCAATAATTCATTGGGATGTGATAAAGTTATACGCATGAAAATACGTTATTAGTAATTGAGAAAAGTGTCGATCTCGTCTTGTTAGCTTGGTGAGAGGAAGCCTCGAGACCGCATCTTCTAGCCAAATAGGGAGCGATCACTCAATAACGAACACTAACACGTGTGAAACAATATTTTTTTCTTAAAGATGTTATATTCACACTCTTCAAATTACTTTCTCTACATAATTAAGCAACATTTGACAACCACTACATTAAAGGTTGTTGGGCTGAAATTTTTTGGCCTAGCCAACCCAAACCTACAGGCCGAGTCGAGTTTTATTTTGGTCGTACCGTCAATTTGATAAAGGCCTAATTGGATAAATGGTCCCCGTGATCATAAGGTATTCGGATGATAGCCCCTGTGGTAAAAAAATTCGGATTTAAACCCCTGTGGTCTAAGTCTGTTAGGATTTATGCCCTTCTGTTAAATAATACTGACGTGGCTGACACATGTATGCCACGTGGCTGCCAAATGTCTGCCACGTGGCAAAAATAATAATTTTTAATTTTTTTTAAAAAAACCTGAATTTTTACAAAAAAAAAAAAAACGCAGATCTGCAAGAAGAAGAAGAAGGAAGAGGGAGAGGGAGAAGGGCGCGGGGAGAGGGCTCCGGCGGGAAGTCGGGTTTTATTTTGGTCGTACCGTCAATTTGATAAAGGCCTAATTGGATAAATGGTCCCCGTGGTCATAAGGTATTCAGATGATAGCCCCTGTGGTAAAAAAATTCGGATTTAAACCCCTGTGGTCTAAGTCTGTTAGGATTTATGCCCTTCTGTTAAATAATGCTGACGTGGCTGACACATGTATGCCACGTGGCTGCTAAATGTCTGCCACGTGGCAAAAATAATAATTTTTAATTTTTTTTTAAAAAACCTGAATTTTTACAAAAAAAAAACGCAGATCTGCAAGAAGAAGAAGAAGGAAGAGGGAGAGGGAGGAGGGCGCGGGGAGAGGGCTCCGGCGGGAAGAAGAAGAAGAAGAAGAAGAAGAAGAAGAAGAAGAAGAAGAAGAAGAAGAAGAAGAAGAAGAAGAAGAAGAAGAAGAAGAAGAAGAAGAAGAAGAAGAAGAAGAAGAAGAAGAAGAAGAAGAAGGAGTCGCGCGGGGAGACCGGCGGGAAGAAGAAGGAGAAGAACGGCGCGGGGGGGGACGGGCGGAGGGCGGGGGGAGGTTCTGTGTGTTTTTTTTTTTTTTTTTAATTCAGGTTTTTAAAAAAAAAAATTAAAAATTATTATTTTGTCACGTGGCAGACATTTGGCATCCACGTGGCATATGTGTGGCAGCCACGTCAGCATTATTTAACAGAATGGCATAAATTCTAACAGACTTAGACCACAGGGGTTTAAATCTGAATTTTTTTACCACATGGGCTATCATTCGAATACCTTATGACCACGGGGACCATTTATCCGATTAGACCATTTGATAAATATACTCTAGCCAATACAACGTTGAGTGTAGATCCAACTTTAAATATATTTCTTTAAATAAATCAAAACCCACTGAAAATTGTCTTATGGTTTGACTAGCTGTGTAATATGCCATTCCTCATGTGGTACCTCCAAACTTCGATTTCGTGTTCAATTCACTTGACTCTTGGTCACTCCCCTTTAGATTTGAAAATGAGAATAGATGCTAAAACACTAAACGCATATCCATTTATTCTCTATTTTTAATATCAAATCTAAAAATAAAATAACCATACATTGATCACTAACAAACAGATTGCCAATAACCCCAAGAATACTAAATGAAGACCTGACATTCGTGTTGTGTTTTATGTGTTCGTGTCATACCCGATATCTTAACAGGTCGTATCGTGTAACACCCATTAAAATAAACGGGTAAAATGACACCCAAAATCGACCTGATAATATTAACGGGTAATATGACCCGATCCGTTACCCATTAAAAATATATATATTTTAAACCAATAAATAATCAAATGAAAAACATAATACTAAATAAGTATATACATACCATATTATCACATCCAAAGCATAAAAATGCATTTTTCTTTTAAGTATATTTTCGCTTACCTAAATTGATCAAATGGTAAAATTGGAAAATATTGGAATAAAGAAGGGATTTTTTCATCCAAAAAAGTTCTAATAATATAAGTGAAATAGAATCTAACGGTACAGATTTACTCTCATTTATCTTATGATTGTTATTTAAGTAAAGTCTTTAATAGTTTTTTAATTAATGTAGAAGTGTAAAAAATATAGAAAAAAATATATATAAACGCTCGTAATGACAAGCTTTACAACTTTCATGAAAAGCTTAACTTTGAAATTTACCACTATAATCATATAAATCATAGATCAAAATTTAACCGTTGATTGTTGTTTACATTTACGCTTCATTGTTCTCATCAACATTTGCTTTTTCAGATTTTCTTTTTAGAAAACATGATCTATTAGAGGATGCAGGAAGATGAACGGTTTGGATCGTTGATATTATATTCAGAGTTTTACGATTAGTGAAAATATTCAGATTTACGCTTCATTGTTCTCATCAACATTTGCTTTTTCATATTTTCTTTTTAGAAAACATGATCTATTAGAGGATACATGAAGATGAATGGTTTGGATCGTTGATATTATATTCAGAGTTTTACGGTTAGTGAAAATATTGCTTGATGTTTATAAAGTTTCTATAAACTATATGACATCGACTCATATTTTAGTTAACTGTAAATATCGAAACGTGATATCAAAGATCTGAACCTTTCATCTTCTTACATCCGCCAGATGATCATGTTTTCAAAAAAATAAAATTTTAAAAATAAAATTCAGAAAGAAGAATAAAGCGTAAATGACAATTGCCGGTTAAATATAAATTTAAAGTTTATGGATTATATTGTTGTATTTCGAAACTGACCCCTTCATGAAAGTTGTAAAGCTTGTCACTATGAGTGATTGTATTTTTTTTTTTACATTTTTTACACTTCTACAATAATTATTATTAATTTTATTAATTTTTCCCTCAAATAAAAAACATTATTCATGAGGGTTTGGAGGATTTTAAAAATCTAAACGATAATGTGAGTGTAATCATTATCTACTTGTTGAGGAATAATCATGAATCACGAGTGTTTATATATTCTTTCACATTTTTCATACTTGTATGTATGTCTTCTTAGTTCTTACCTATACAAATACTATACTAGTTTATTTTAATTTTGGACAACAACATGTTAAGTAAAATTTATCCTAGTAATGATAATAAAGAACTCTCATAATAAAAATAAATAATGACTAAAACATTTTTTTTAACTATATAGAATAATAATACAAAACTATATATTTAATATAGAATATATTGTATATTAATATGGCTATTGTATTTTATAATAAATCTTTTAGTAATTAAACTTTAAAATTATCAAAATATTTTTTTTCTTAACGGGTCGAAATGGGTTACCCATGTGTATACCTATTAAAAATCCGTTATTAACTGGTCATCTGATAATGATCCGATTAGTTATCGTATTGACATGAAACCCGTTATTTTTGTATCGTTTTCGTGTCGTGTCAGAAACTTCTGGGTCTAACTAAATGCATAATCGTGAAGTCTCTGGACTCAAGTCACCTCCTTTTCTTTCTTTCCTGACTTTCTAAATTCTAAGCGTGAATATTGCTCCTTTTTATTTTATTCTTTTGTATTGGTTACATTCGATTACTCCTTCGACCTTTTAGGTAGGAATATGATACCAAGATTAAGTGGAGGTTTGCGTGTCCAGTTCATCTTTATTAGTTTGCCAATGCAAGGATTTATTTATTTATTTTTTGTTGTCGAAAGAGAGAATTTTATTGAATTAAATATGAACAGGTACATTTGCATCTTTTGCTAAAATATTAAAAAGAAACTCTGGACCTAACTTATCCCAACCAAATCTCCCGCCATGCTTAACGATGTACATCTCCACCAAATGGGCTGCACGATTGCATTGCTGAGGGGTAAAGAGAACCTTACCAACTGGAATAAGCTCACCATCCTCCAAATGTCTTGGAGATAAATTTCTAAAGTCACATCAGCCGTGACCTCCTTGTTAAGCATCTGAATCAATCCCTTCGAATCCGATTCCACCACCAATCTAATGCCAACCTCCATAACATCACTCCCAATAATCGACTCCATCACCTGCCTCCGCCATAATTCCCACCCCACAAACCACACCTTCCTCCCCCCCCCCCGCGGGAAGCATTTCGTTGCTTATTTGCATACTTACTAGTTTTTAATAACTGGCTAGCTGCAGTTTGTTGGCTTCGATCCATTTCAATACGTAAGTAGTAATTAGACTACTTTAATTCCATTGCTAATTTTTTGTTTATTTAGAATATGATATGCTCCAACGGGATCACAGGTTGAACATGGCAAAGGGTGTTTGGGAGACCATGGCACAAGGTGTTTGGGCGGCCATGTCACGCGTGTTACATCCATCAGTGTCCAATACAAGCACAGGTGTGTTCCGGAGACCACGGTACTTATTTTTATACTACATTTGTGTATCATTCAGTGTTTAAATATTGATATCGGTAGAAATATCGATACTCAAATTTATAGAGATATCAATAGATATATTAATATCAATATCAGTTGCCTTCAACGAAAATGATGAAAATTTGCCAAAAAAACGTGGAAATTTGAAATTACACTTTAAGGTATGTCATATCAAACCACAATACATGTATTAATAAAAATTAAATGATTAAATACTATATAACATGTTCATCTTTTACACAGATAAGAGACTCAAGGAGTCATAATCCCACTAATTTTTTTTACTGAATCTTATCCCAGTAATCTACAATTCATATAATCTTCACATAATACATAACTTAATTCAAACGAGAACAACATCAACAGAAAAATCCAATCCAACACATTTAATTAGGTAATTATATTAAATATTACCTTTCATTAAGGATAACTAAGTCTTTTTTATTTTTTAAATACACCTTTATTGAGTAATAATCTTCCTATACTTATAAAATTGGTTTGGTCATAACATTATTACTATATAATGTCTAATTTTACCACAAATTTCATATATTTGTAACCATATTCATATTCATGGAGATACCATACCATGAGCATTGTAGTAAAATGTAAATGATCTCAAGGACATATAATGTCTAATTTTACCATAAATTTCATATAGTTGTAACCATATTCATATAGTTGTAACCATATTCACATTCATGTGCATTTACATATCAGTGCTGTAATTAATGGCATGAACAATTTCTTGGTTTTCTTTGTGATTAAACAAACATAGTGCTCTATTTCAATACTTTGGAGTGTTAATTACAATGATCCTCTTCATTTCTAATGAGAGGTCTTAGATTCGATTATCACTAAAGACGAATTTGAATCACATTATTGCTAACTTATTGTAAGGCTAAGCCCACCTATCCCTTTAATGAAGATAATATCGTTTGTTCTAAAAAAAAATTACAATGATCCCATATAATTATATATAATTATCATATAATTCCATATAACTTGATTAAAAAGTTAAATAACAAGGAACCCATAACATTATCTTCCATCGTTTCTAATATTGAAGTTTAACTACAGAAATGTTCATGCATAAAACTGAAGTATGGAGAAACGGTAAATCGCCACAATGGTCCCTGAGATTTTCATAACTCATTACTTTGGTCCCTGAGATTCCAAAACGATAAAAGTGAGATTTTCCACTATCCATCATTTTGGTTCCGTTAAAAACTCCGTTAAGTGTTCTAGAGGAAGTTTGGGCAATTTTCAAAGCTTCGTAACTCAATCGTTTCTTAACCAAATTAGACTCATAATATATCAAAATGAAGATAGGAAAGTGTAGAATAAGATTATATATATTTAAAAGCCCAATGATTGCTGGAGATGGCCGGAAAATAGCCTCAAAGTTGACTGGTTCGAGTGAAAACTTGAAAACTCGTCGGAAACTGGGTAAACTTTAAATGTTCATAACTTCTTCAATACTCAACGAAATCAAGTGATTTAAAAACAAAAATCATACTTCTCGATGAGACAAAGAGAATGGAACCTTTTTTTATGGCTAAATCTCTGTAGTTTGGCCGAAAACGGCTCGAAAGTAGCTGTCTTGGTCTACTTTCGAGCCATTTTCCGGCCAAACCATGGCGAGTTAGCCATAAAAAAAAAAAAAAAAAGGTATCATTCTCTTCGTCTCGTTGAGAAGTATGATTTTCATTTTTGAATCACTTGATTTCGTTGAGTATTGAAGAAGTTATGAACGTTTAAATTTTATCCAGTTTCCGGCGAGTTTTCAAGTTTTCACTCGGACCAGTCAACTTTGAGGCTATTTTCCGGCTATCTCCGGCAATCATTGGGCTTTGAAATATGTATAATCTTATTCTATACTTTCCTATCTTCATTTTGTTATATATGGGTCTAATTTGGTTAAGAAACGATTGAGTTACGAAGCTTTGAAAATTGCCAAAACTTCATCCAGGACACTTAACGGAGTTTTTAACGGAATGACCAAAATGATGGATGGTGGAAAATCTCAGAGACCACTTTTATCGTTTTGGAATCTCAGGGGCCAAAGTGATGAGTTATGCAAATCTCAGAGACCATTTTGGCGATTTACCCTACGAGGAAATTAACAATAACAAAACAAGATAAATTTGACAGGATTCGAATATAGTCAGTATAAACCTTTCTTTGAGGCTGTGCAAGCTGGTGATTGGGAAACTGCAAAGGATTTTCACAACCAACATCCGGAGGCAGTAAGAGCAAGAATTCCATATTCTGGTAAGACAGCTCTTCACATTGCAGTTGATGCTGGGCATGTGGATCTTGTCAAAGAATTGGTGTCGTTGATGGAAGAGGAAGACTTGGAATTACAAGAAACATTAGGTGATCGGACAGCTCTTGCTATTGCTGCAAGTAAAGGGATTACCGAAATGGCTGAATGCATGGTACCAAAGAACAAAAAATTACTCAGCATTCCCGATTCAAACAACTCGCTCCCAGTTGTGAAAGCTTATTTAAATTGTCGTTGGCATATGGCTCGATATCTCTACTCCGTCACTCCAATTGAAGATTTAATGCCAGACAAAGGACCTAACGGCGCTACAATAATCACCGAATCTTTTTCATCCAAAGAATTTGGTAAGAGTTTTAAATATGAGTAATGACACGTAGTTGAGGACTACAAAAATAAAAATTAAGAGTTCATTTAATAATCATTTTAGTTGTTTGGTAAATTACTTTCAAATTAAAAAGAAAAAGAAAAAAACTGAAATTCAAAGTGTTAAAACTAAAAAAAGTAGCTTTCACTTTTTATTATAGCTTAATTGGATTAACAGTTTCCGTGGTTATAGGGTAGTTGGAAAATTGCTCATATGGTAAAAAAATTAGGATGCAAGTCCTGTGGTGAAGTTTATTGAGATTTAGGCCCAAAATTGAAAATTTTAAGCTCTACGTTAATTGTTAGCACATGAAGCCCAATGTGAGGCTAAAAAGATAAAGTTAGCCTCATATGTAAGCTTCACGTGCAAACAATTAACAGAGAGTTTTGTTTTGCTCTCATATGTGTGGCTCACATACTAATAATTAATGGAGAGTTGACGGAATTTTCAATTTTGAGCTTAAATCCTAATAGACTTCACCATAGAGGCTTAAATCCTAATTTTTTAACCACATGGGCTATCTTCCGACTATCATATTACCACGGGAACTAATAATCCAATTAGACCTTTTATTTTTTTTTGAAACTTGAAAACTAAAAGTAGTCATCAAACGAGTTTTTAGCTTTCAAATTAAAAATGTGACATCCCACATCGCCCAAGGGAGTGATTCTTAAATGTATATTCCCATCCCTACATAGCACGATGCTTTTTGGGAGCTCACTGGCTGCGGGTTTCGTAGAAACTCCGAAGTTAGGCGAGAAGGAGGCCAGAGCACTCCCAGGATGGGTGACCCACTGGGAAGTTGCTTGTGAGTTCCCAAAAACAAAATCGTGAGGGAATGGTAAGCCCAAAGCGGACAATATCGTGCTACGGTGGTGGAAGGGGCCGGGATATGGTGGAACCCGAGCCGGGATGTGACAAAAAACGTGATTACAAAAACTGAAAATAAAATGGTTATCAATTTGTAACTTGAAAAATAAATAGCTTATTCTAGCTACAGTCAATGTTTGAAATATCCTGGATATACTCGATATTTCCACGAGAATATCCAAAAATTCAGGGAACGATATGGAAAACTTCACCCCATATCCACGATATTTTTAGAAATCAGTTAATTTTCACGATATTTTCAGGAAATATTCAGTGTTTGCAGGAAATATCCATGATCCTATGCATTATTTATTTTTTTTAAACTTCTTTCTTTATGGTATTAGTTTACTTCAATAAAACTTGTGCTCATTTCATGACGATAATTTCAATTAAGTTATGTATAATTTATTCTTTCTAGTGAAATACTTTATTTTATTACTTGTCATTATAAGGAAGTTTTTCTTCACATATATCACATACTTATTGTTTACACAGTATCTAATCGTTATTCTTGATTTATACGTGTGTTGTGGCTTCATATGACATTTCCTAAAAATAATTTTAAATTTTCATGTTTTTGAGCAAATTTCCATCATTTTCATCGAATGCAATCAACATCGGTATTTGATATATGTTATATCCATCGATATTTCCACAAATTTGTCTATCGATATTTCCACCAATACTAATATTTTAAACACTAGCTACAATTTACTCTTTTTTCCCATAACTACAAATTACTACAACAAACTATTTTTTTCTAAAAATTTGTAACTTAAAAAATAAACAGATATCTCATGAGATTTAATTCAGCGTTGACCAAAATTGGCCTTTACTTTGGACCGCTTAAAGTTTTCCCCTTTAGAAGCTTTGGCTGGGCAGGCTTCTTCATTCCCGAGCGGAGCGAAACTCAATTTTTGGCAACAATGGATTTATGACAGTTAGTGTACCACATTCTTCCTTCTCTTTCTATTAATTATTTGCTTTCACTTTTATACGACATATTTTCTTGTCTTGATAGGCATAGACATACAACCTCCTCCTCGCATCAATCATATTTGTGTGACTGTTCAAATGAAGAAAATTCCCAAGCTAATAACAGGAGTTTAATTCGCTTAGGTTTGTTATTCCCTTCCTCTCCGATCATTAACAAGTTAGAAATTTTGTATAAATGGTACGATCTAATTTGGGTTATCCACTTCTTGCTTAACTTTACCGAAGAAGTACATAATATTTATCTTCATTTGTATCTGAGATGTCTCAGTTTTAACTCACATAAATGACGAGTTTGACACTTAATCATTAGGGTAAATCTCAGTTTACTACCATCAAGTTTTGTGGTTTTCAACATTTGATACATGAAGTTTTTTTCGTCACCTAAGGTGTTAATTTCAGGATAATCTCATACATCTGTTAGTCTGGATGTTAAGTCTCCCGTTAACTGATGACGTGACGTCCATGTGAACAATGACTTACATCACATTTATTAAGGGTCCACGTGAAAATTAAAAATTCAAAAAAATAATTATTTAAATAAAAGTTAAAAATACAAAGCCCAAATCCCCTTTGTCTTCCCCAGAATCCCCACCTGTGCCACCCTCCCACCCTCCATCACCAACTCCTTCTCCCACCCCCTAACACTCTTTCTCTCGCACCACTCTCTCTCCCCAACTATCTCATTCTCTTTCAACACTCTCCCTCACTCGAAGAGAACCCAAATCCTTGTACCGAATTTACCAATCTTACGACATTATTAGGTAACGAAACTACCAAGAAGCACCCACCTTACATAACTAACAGAATGATTCAACATGAAATTGTTACGAAAATGTCACCATAAGCAATACAAAGCATTCCACAATTCACTAGTACCATCTCCCCCTAGCTAGAAAATGATCCCGAAAGAAAATGACAAACCATAGAAGCATAGAAATTGAGATCCTAAGTTCACAGAAAACCTAATTCATTCCAATTCACACACGCTAAGTCGTTAAATGCGAGAAAATTCAGAACCCTATATGCTCATTGAGTCCGCCGCCAATGTGAAGCTTTCGCAGTAGGTGCTTCATCTTCGACATCGATCATCAATGGAAATTCCGAAACCCTCCCCTCTCTCTCTGTCTTTCACCTCCTTGTCAACATCGATCATCAATGGAAATTCCGAAACCCTCCCCTCTCTCTCTGTCTTTCACCTCCTTGTCGACTCGAAGAGTGTTGGGGGGGGGGTGGGAGGTAGACCTGTAAACGGGTCGGGTTTATTGGGTTTGGATCGGGTTCAACCCGATCCGTTAAGCTAACGGGTCATCCGAACCCAACCCGTTAAGCTTAACGGGTCACCCGAACCCAACCCGTTAAGCTAACGGGTCATCCGTTTCAACCCGTTTCACCCGTTAACCTTTTTTTTATTTTTTTTATTTTTATTTTATACACATTTCATCCCAATCAATTACACCCGTTCTTAGCATTCTAGTGCTTGTGCTAGCCACCTCCTTCCTTCATTCGGTTTGTGTGCATATGCTGATACAATCGGGCACAAAACAACTCACAAGTTTATAGTGGTTATTAGCTATAGCAACACAATCTCCAAAAGATACTCGCGAAACGGCAATTAATGTTTACATATAAATACATATCAAATATATATATATATATACATATATGTATATATATATACATATATATATACATTATATTCCTATTTCGGAACAAATACATCAATTAATGTTTACATATATATACATATATATATATATATAGAGAGAGAGAGAGAGAGAGAGAGAGAGAGAGAGAGAGAGAGAGAGAACTTGAATTAAGCGAGTGACGACGGCGCCGCACAGTGCCATTTGTTTGCCACAGTCGTCGCACAGAGTCAAGTGCTTGCAATTGCTTCCGTATAAATCCTTGGTCGTTTTACATCCACCACACTCAGGTCTCAGAATCAAATCGGCCGTCGACATTTTACCTCCTGCAAAACCACACAATTTTCCCGAGAAACAAACACCGATTCAGAGAGAAAATCCTAATTCCCAGGAAAACGAAATTACACAAAAGTCCTCAATAATGGGTCTTAACGGGTGGTTAACGGGTTTCGCGGTTCACCCAAAATGACCCGTTATTTAACGGGTTGACCCGTTAACCACCCGATCCGTTTATCACCTACCCGAATACTAATTTTAACAGGTCGGGTCGGATCGGGTCGGGTTAACGGGTCGGGTGAAAAATGCCAGGTCTAGTGGGAGGGTCGGCATGGATGGGATTCTGGGGAAGACAAATGGGATTTGGGTTTTTTATTTTTTTTTTATTTTATACTTTTCTTTATATAATTATTTTTTTGAATCTTTAATTTTTACGTGAACTATTTAATGACACGTGACGCTTAGTCATTATCCATATGAGTGTCACATCATCAGTTAACGAGAGACTTAATAATAGCCAGACAAACGGATGTACGAGACTATCCCAAAATTAACACAACTCTAGGACGAAAAAAACTTCATGTACCAAATATTGAAAACCACGAAACTTAAAAGTAATAAAATGAGATTTACCCTAATTATTATGACTAATATATCTCTCACTATCTTACGGAATTTGGAGAGATTTTTCCACTACCAGGCATCATTGCCACCAGATCCTACACCTATCATCACCAGCACCATCCCATCACTGGGCCACCACGACCACAACCACCTCCATCATCTCCACGAGAAATTTTTCAGGGTACCGGGTACCCAACCTGACCTGGAGTACCAAGCCAACTACAGGCAGGCATGTGGCCTGCTTTCTTTTTCAATTAAAACAATTTCTGTGACTTCCAAAACGGTGGGCTCGATAACTGAGAAGATAACGGCCGTCATGGCCTCTGCACAGATCTTCTCAATTCCCTTTAGCTTTTTGCTCGATTTTTTTTTTTTTTTTTTTTTTGAGCTGGGTTTTTTACAATTTCAAACATTCATGCATTTATGCATAGTATGAATGTTTTGGGTTTTAAGAGGAACACATGGCGGCAGATTGCAATGACTTTTTAAGAAAATGCAATTTTTTTTCCTTTAATTTCTCAACTGATTGGTGTCTCCATAAAAGGGCAGTGGAAGGCCATCGGAGCAAGGACGAAACCGAGGACGGACGAGTATTCTTCATCAGCGGTAGCTTGACAGAGTTTCTCTGATTCAAAGAGGAAGAAGCCGGTGAGGCTTTTTATTCCGATGATGTCGTCGGGATTTGGGGTGGGTCCAATGATGCCATCGACGGTGGAAAGGAAAGAGGTGGTGAATGCTTAACGTTTGTCGGAAGTTTTCTTGGTTTTGGATTACGTGTTCATATGTATTTAAAGAAAAAATGTTAATAGTCATGTGTCCATCTCTTATTGCTCGGGTACACCAGCTATCAATCTTATGTGGAGTTCCCGGCTCCTTGAAAAATTTCTCCATCTCCACCATTATCAATCCTACTACCTCATAATCACCATTGCCACCACCATTATTGTTAACCACACCCTCACCCATGTTACCATCATCTCCACCACTATGGATTCAAATTTCGTACAGTTGAATTGACGAAATTTCACCTACAAAACAAGAAACAGCATTAATCTAATTGACAAACACCTAAAAAAGGAGGGAATGTGTACACCAAAGGGCCTCTGATGCCTAAGTCAAAAAATTAGTTTGAGAGAAATTATGAACTTGAGAGGGTTCTAAGACGTAAGTGGTGATTATCGTTTTTCCTGTTTGACTTGACTATTTATAGACATGAACCCTAGTAGGCAGCCATGATGGAGGTTGGAGCCCATAATAGACAAATCCTAATCCTACCTGAAATATGACTCCAAGAATATTTACAATTAAAACTCAAATCAATAATTTTTCCTTTCCCCACAAGAATTTAGTATAGGAGATAAGCATTGCTTGAATTCTCACAAATTCCTTACTTTTAAAATCACTTATATACTAGTTGCGGATACTTCCCCTATTGTATAGTTCCTCTTGTTACTCTGTTTCACAGTTTTATGAATGAAATCCACTATCCTTTCCTTCCAAAAAAAAAAAATCACATGCAATCTCCCATTAGACGCACAGTGCTTCCATTATCTTTTGTAGTTCGTTTAATTGATTATCAGGGCAAATCAGTCTCATTATCTATGTTGCCGCCACCCAAGGGGTCAAATTTAGATAATCTCACTCTTTCTTGAGATTAATTTCATTTTTCCTTGAGTCGAGTCTCAACTATCATATGCTTTACCCTTTATCCGGCATTTTTCCCTGCTTTTACATTCTTCTAATTTCCCTCGCTCCCTCCTTAGCTGTGATACATTATCTCCATCCCACCATATGCTCGGTCTCCGATTAGAAATTAGATATCAAATCCACTTTCCTCCCTCACTTCCCCTCCCTCAACAGGCATGCCGAGTTCCCATCGAGGCTAAGTGTTGGGTATTTTACTCCCTTAGCCTCACCTTATTCTCATATGTTACTTTGTATGTATTACTTCGTTTCTAGTACTGATAGTGATAGAAATTTTTATTACTATTTGTTTACAAATATCCATTTTGGCATATAGATAACAAAGGAAAAGAAAAAAAATATGGAGAGAATATTTTATCACCAAACCAATGAGTGGGGGAAAAGGGGTGGATCTATTGGATGGCAAGGGTAGAGAAATTTTTCAATGTGACCGGTACACAGGGTGGTATACCACGTGTTATTATATAAATAGTAGGATATGTGTGTTAAAAAGTTAATAACTTAAAAAATAAAATTTCTCACCACTTATATAAAAACATGTGATGTACTCTCCGTATTCTGGTCACAATAAAAAATTCTCGCAAGGCTGACTGGGGATTGACATGTTGGGGGAAAAATGACATACTACCATTGGCTAAATTCCAAATTGTTATGACACCCACAATTCGTATAGACATCAGTAACATATAAAGATTGTTTTTCAAAGTGCAAGTTGTTGCTCGCAGTTTGCAATGGATATATTTACTTCCCAGCCATTTTACCGGCATCTAAACGTAGATATTCTTGCATTACCAACTTTTCCATCCCCCATTTCAATTCTTACATGGGGCTATATACATCAAGTATTTGATGAGTCCCTATATTTTAGGGATTTTTTTTCCAACCCATTGAAGGGGAGTGTATTCAATTCAGATTTTGAGGGATTTTAATTCTTTTGATGAATCTAGGGTATTCAATCAGAATTTTAAGTGATTCTCTGAAATTCAAAGTGTATTCAATTAGAATTTTAAGATAATTTATTAAAATTCTTAGAAATCCATATGTATTCAATTAGGATTTTAAAGAAGTTTATAACATTCCAGGTATATTCAATTAGAAATTGATTTTAAAGAATTTGAGAAACTTGAGAAATTAGAGGGAATTTGAGAGATTTCGTAGTGTATTTTAAGCATCTACAAATCTCACCTCTCCCCATGTGATTTTGAGGGAATTGAATCAAAATTTTATATGTAATTTCTACAAATCAATTAAACTCATAAAAATCTATGGATTTATAAATGAGTAATGATATTCATATCATGTTTTTATATCACATTTCTATCCTACCTTAGGTGGCATCTGATGTGGACAGCCACATCATTTGAAAAATTTGCAAAACACAAGGAAAGGAAGGAGAAAGACTCCTCATACCACAATCATAATTTAATTAACTAGTTTTTCTTAATTATTAGTTTATTAAATAATGAACTAAATTTAAAAATCTAATTAATTCAAATGATGTGGCTGTCTACATCAGATGTCACATAAGATGGTATGAAAATGTGGTACAAAACATGGTATGAATAGCATTACTCTTTATAAATCTATTAAAGTATCTCAAATTCTCAATTGAGTACACCCTACAAAGATTCATTTTATGTCTATATTTGTTTTATACTCATTTTATTAGTGTTTGTCCCTATTTAAAGACTCTACTAGAGATGCTCTCGGAACTTTAGAAGTTCAAAATTAAAAAATGGATTTGCCTCCTTCCAAACACATAAACCAAACAGCCTCCAGCAAAAGACAATATGATAGATTATAAAATTTTATTCAACATTCCCTGTGCATGGTTTTGTTATTTTCTGCAAACAATTTTATTTATTTAATCTGAATTTCAGCAGAAAACAGTCAGATTATGTATATCCTTCCAGATAAATAAGGACAAGACCAGGTCAACCAGATTCCGTGCCAAATCAGCCCACTGTAGCTCAACCAAGAAATGTGAGTCCACGATTGACCACCCCATTACTGTAAGTTTGTAACCAAGAAATGCGAAAAAAAAGCATTTACATTAACAATGTAGGGTGAGGATGATTTGTACTACCAGGGCTCCATGCATCATACACCACATAATTAAGCAACATTTGATGTCCACCACATTAGAGGTTGTTGGGCTGAAAATTTTCGGCCTAGCCAACCCAAACATACAGGCTAGACCGGGTTTTATTTTGGTCGGACCATCAGTTGGACAAGTATGTTCTAGCCAATACAATGCTGGGTGTAGATCAAACTTTAAATATATTTCTTTAAATAAATCAAAACGTACTGAAAATTGTCTTATGGTTTACTAGCTATATAATATGCCATTCCTCATGTGGTGCCTCCAAACTTCAATTTCATGTTCAATTCATGAAAAAAAACTAGTTTTTATCATTAACGTGTGTGACAGTAGGTTTGGGAGCTTGAAGAACATGATACTTGGAGTGCAATTGCAAAATCTTCATAATCAAATGCACAAGCAAGACTGGCTCTTTAATACCACCATAACAGTAACAGAGAAGAAGAAGCATCACAAAAAAAGAAGAAAGAAATGAAAACTTAGAGAAGAATAAATCGCTCGTATTTCTTAGTAACTGATTTGTTTTCAACTTAATGAATAGTACAAGAATACCCTTGTACAACAAGATTAACTCTTAAGCTAATCACTCGTTCACTAATTAAACACATGTTGAAATGACACCTAATAATGTATGACTCATAGTCTTCAATCAGAGAGAAGCTCGCGTAATGCAGCAAATCAGTGTTGAGATGAGATCCGCCAAATCTAGGGGGAAATGCAGCTCACTTAATAAAACTATAAGACATCTCTAATGTACTGGAAAGGTTATATTCATATATAATTCAAGTGCAAAATCATATTTGACATTTGATATAGCTCTAAATGTTAGATCCTCACCACATAAGATACAAAAATTATATTTTCTCTCTAAATTTGATTAGACTCCTTCCAATTTACAAGAGTTAAAAGTTACAAGTCAAATTTGATTCATATGCATTGTTTATAAAATAACTTGCACCACCACACTTAGAGTCAAATACGACTTCATAATTTTTAACCTTTAAATCTTAGATTGGAGATACAATTTAGTGGTATTCCTCTTCACTTGACTCTTGTGGATGACAAGTTTAGTACTAAATCCTTTACTAATCTTAGTTTAAATAAGTCATTGTTACATAAAAATAGGACTAATTAACTCTATGGGTCAACTTTCGACTAAGAATGTATGACATGAGTAAAAATACTAGAGTCTCAACCCCTTGGTCACTTCCCAATGTGATACTAAGAGTAGAGGTTAAAACACTAAAAGCATACCTATTTATTCTTCATTCTTAATATCAAATCTAAAAATAAATAACCATACGTTCCTTGATCACTAGTTACTGAGATAATATTTTTAAACAAACAGACAAATAGATTGCCAGTAACCCCAAAATTACTAAAGGAATAATCGTAAGGTCTCTGGGTTCAAATCACCTCCCTGTTCGTTCTTTCCTGACTTTCTAAAGCGTGCTTTTGCCCCCTTTTGTTTTTATTCTTTTGTATTGGTTACATTTGATTACTCCGACCTTTGTGTGGGCTTGCTTATTAAATCCTCTTCAGTCAATCACAAGGCTTTGCCCAACTTTGCATGTACGTAGGAATATGATACCAATATTAAGTAGAGGTTGCGTGTCCAGTTGATCCGTAATATTCGAGGAAAAGCAGCCCATACACCTCTTCACTTTTAAGTAGCTTCCCTTTCCACTCTCCCCCATTTTCTTCTTATTAGTTTGCCAATGCAAGCCTTTATTTCATTGCTTATTTGCTTGCTTACAAGAGTTTAATAACTAACTAGCTGCAGTTTGTTGGCTTCCATTCCTTTCAATCCGTAAGTAGTAATTAGACTACTTTAATTTCATTGCTAATTTTTTGTCTGTTTAGATAATATGTATGATACATGATATGATATGATATGCTCCAATGAATCATAGGTTGAACATGGCACAAGGTGTTTGGCAGAACATGCCACAACGTGTTTGGGAGCCATCATTACATCCATCGGTGCCCAATACAAACACAGGGCCACAAGGTGTGTTGGAGCCATCATTACATCCATCAGTGCCCAATACAAGCACATGTCCACGAGGTGTTTGGAATATACCACAAAGTGTGTCGGAGCTATCATTTTGTCAATCAGTGCCCAATACAAGCACAGGGCCAGGTGTGTCGGAGCCATCATTACATCCATCAGTGCCCAATACAAGCACAAGGCCACAAGGTGCATCTCTCCTTGCCAAAAGACAAAAAATAATAATCATTTCCTATTTCATTATCTAATTAAATAATCGTCTATATTTTTTTCTTTAGAAAATGCTATAATATTATATTGCATAATGTTAGGGAAATTAATTTTTTTTAACTAAATTTGCAAACCAAATCATGTTTCACAAATAGAAAATAAGTACGTTAATCAATACTTAATAATAATCCAATTATCAACATCCAAATCATTTAGTGTACAAATTTGGTCTCTCTAGCAGTACCCTACTATATTTTTAGACCACGTTTGCGTATCATCTAGTGTTTAAAAATATTGATATATGTGGAAGATCAATATATAAATTTATAGAAATATCGATGGATGTATCGATATCGGTTGCCTTCAATGAAAATGATGAAAATTTAAAATGATGAGCATTGTTGTAAAATGCAAATCATCTCAAGGACATATAATGTCTAATTTTACCATAAATTTCATATATTTGTAACCATATTCATGTGCATTTAGCATTATTTTTTATTGTTTGAAGGCTTTTTAGCCAAAATGGTCATGGAGATTTGCATAACTCCTCATTTTGGTCCTTGAGATTTGAAATCAATTGAATTTGTCTTTGAATTTATCCACAACAATCATTTTGATCATTCCGTGAAAAATCTCCATAAAATAAGGATAAATGATAAAAATATCCTCAAATTTTGTCAAATCATTTTGGCCTATTGTTTATTAAATTGAAGGTATTTTTGTCATTTTGATCCTTATTTAACATGATTTTTCACCAAATAACCAAAATGATTGATGATGCACAATTTCAGGGACTCACTTCCTTTGATTTCAAATCTCAGGGATCAAAGTTTGCAAATCTCAAGGCTCATTTTGGCTAAAAAACCTTGTTTGAACATATTTAAACTGTGTATTTAATTAATGGCATGAATGATTTCTTGGTTTTCTTTGTGATTAAATTTCAGTGCTCTATTTTCCTAACACTTTGGAGTGTTAATCACAATGATCCCATATAATTTTTCTAGTTGTCATATAATTTCATATAACTTGATTAAAAAGTTAAATAACAAGGAACCCAAAACATTATCTTCCATCGTTTCTATGATTGAAGTTTTTAACTACAGAAATGTTCATGCATAAAACTAAACAAGTATGGGGTAATTAATAATAACAAAACAAGATAAATTTTGACAGGACTTGAATATAGTCAGTACAAACCTTTCTTTGAGGCTGTGCAAGCTGGTCGTTGGGAAACTGCAAAGGACTTTTACATCCAACACCCGGAGGCAGTAGGAGTAAGACATCCATTTTATGGGAAGACAGCTCTTCACATTGCAGTTGAAGCTGGGCATGTGGATATTGTCAAAGAATTGGTGTCGTTGATGGATGAGGACGACTTGGAAATAAAATCAGCAGGTCGCACAGCTCTTGCTATTGCTGCAACTAAAGGGATTATCGAAATGGCTCAATGCATGGTAACAAAGAACCAAAAATTACTCAGCATTCCCAATGCTTTCAACGAGCTTCCAATTGTGGATGCTTATTTGAAAGGTCAATGGCATATGGCTCGATATCTCTACTCCGTCACTCCACTTGACGATTTAATGCCAGACAAAGGACCTCATGGCGCTTCCATAATCTCCAGTTGTTTTGCATCCAAAGAATATGGTAAAAGTTTTTAAATATGAGTAATAACATGCTGTTGAGGACTACAAAAATGAAATTTAAGAGTTCGTTTGATAATCATTTCAGTTGTTTGGTAAACTGCTTTCAAATTTCCAAAAAAAAAAAAAAAACTGAAATTATAAGTTAGAAAACTAAAAAAAAAAAAAAAAAATAGCCTTCAATTTTTATTTTTTTGAAACTTGAAAACTAAATATAGTTATCAAACAAGTTTTTGGTTTTCAAATTAAAAAGGTGATTACAAAATAGTTATCAATTCACAACTTGAAAAATAAATAGCTTATTCTAGCTACAGTTTACTCTTTTTTCCCATAGTTACAAATTACTATAGCAAACTAATTATTTCTGGAAATTTCGTAACATTAAAAATAAACAGATGTCCCATGGGATTTAATTCAACGTTGCCCAAAATTAGCCGTTACTTTGGACCGCGGATCGTTCAGTCCTTTACATGCTTTGGCAGCAAACCCTTCATTCCTGAGCGGTGCGGAGCTCAATTTCTGGCAACAATGGGTTTATGACTGTTAGTGTACCACATACTCCCTTCTGTTTCTCTTAATTATTTGCTTTCACTTTTATATGACATATTTTCTTGTCTTGATAGGTCTATATATACAACCTCCTCCTCGCATCAATCATATCTGTGTAACTGTTCAAAATGAAGAAAATCCCCAAGCTAATAACGGAGGGAGTTTATTTCGCTCAGGTTTGTTATCCCCTTCCTCTCCCATCATTAACACGCTAAAAATGTTGTATAAATGGTACGATCTAATTTGGGTTATCCACTTCAAATTCCTGCTTAACTTTAACCAAGGGAATATATGATATTTCTCTTTATTCGTACGTAAGAGGTCTCAATTACAACTCACATAGATGACAAATTTGCCACTTAATTACCGTTTTCCCTGTTTGACTTGACTATTTATAGACATGAACCCTAGTAGGCAACCAGGACGGCGATTGTAGTCCATAATAGACAAAGCCTAATCCTACCTAAAATAGGACTCCAAGAATATTTATAATTTAGGAGATAAGCATTCCTTGAATTCTCAAAAATTCCTTACTTCTAAAATTCAGGGTTTGCATAGAGAATTCACACAATAAAACCCAGTATGAAAATTCACACAATAAAGCCCATGAGCGGTAGGTCTCGGGTTCGAGACTTGGGAGCAGCCTCTCCATAAATGGGGGTAAGGCTAGCCGACATTCACCTCTCCCAGACCCTGCGTAAAACGGGAGCCTTGTGCACTGGGTACGACCTTTAACCTGGCAGCACTTGGGCTGCTGGCGAATTTATCATGTCATGATTACACTTTTGGACTTTATAGCACTTACTGACTAGAGAAGATGATTGCATAATTTGGATTCACCACGCCACAATCATCTTTCGAAAATATTGATCGCACATGCGACTTTACTAGGTTATGATCCCATACGTAGTGATCTCTTAATACGAATATACTAAGTCAACATCCCATGCACTTCATTGCTACATGATACATAATTATTCATGTATATAGTCATCGCACAATACGGATTTACCAGGTATGATGTCATGTATTCCAATGCTACACGGTGCAGACTTACTATCACCTAACCTTGTGACACTATGTTATTGACCCTCTAGCTCTCAGTTCACAAACAATTGAAATACGCATAGATATCTCATTTCACCACAAAAAATATGGCCACTGTGCACAAAAAGTTATTTGTGCCCCTATGAGGTCAAAGGGCACCAACGTATGTGCCATATATCAATAGTAGCAAGTGCAGCAACTAAACTATTATACGTGCCCTCTATGGGTGTGCCATTTGATGAGAGGGCACGATATGACTATTTGCGCTCAAAGAGTTAAGCACCAATAGGACAGAACTATACACACAACTTTCAAATCGTGACCAATAGGAGCACCTCGGTTTCTGTTCTTGATAGATCAATCACATGTGAAACTCAAACAAGAAATCAACATTATAAATTAAAGAAAAATTATTCAGCCTAAACAATCTCTAAGCTTAGTAAAGTTTATTTGTGCACAGAGAAATTGATATAGTTTATTAGTGTGCACAGAGAAATTGTTTGGCCAAAACAATCTCTAAAAGCATCATACTGCATTAAAATGAAGTTACATCAATACCTGAGAAGAGAGGCCGATCATAAGCTTCAGGAACCTGTGAAAAAAGGAAAATAACAATAATGAATTTGATTTACTACAATTTTCTCTAAGACCCTGCTTCCTATAAATAAGTACTCTACTTAAAAATTCAATCCTCATCGTTAGCTGTTTAACCCATTAAAAAAATAAAAACTTAAATTAAGAAACAGTTGAAAAGATATGATATCGACACCCTCAGCAGAAGTAAGGCCAAATCCCTTCGAAGAGATATGATATCAACTACCACATATTCCAGTGATGTTCAAGGGCCAAAACAAAACCAAAAAAAAATGCATTACTACCAAGAAAACTCAATGCATTGCTCGCAGGCGTTGGACCTCATTCCCTTCTTGCCTATAACTTTTAAGAGTCCCATAACTTTTTATGAATTGAAAAATAAAGCTTTTACAGGACATAGTCGAAAGAAAACGCGATGAGCTAATTAAGAACAATATATTGAAAATAGATAAAGAACTTACCTCTCTGTGGAACATCTTCGTCAGCTTTCACCTTCGCTCCACCTGCATATATATACAAGCATCAAATCAATGTTCACACTCTTAGCATCTAGTTATAACAGTAATTACACCAAGAAAACTTGACTCTTCAACAATCCAATTGATGTTGTATTGCAATCTATACAACCAGTGACAGATTAAAATAGCAAAACAACAAAAAAAAATTCTAAATCAAATTGAAGTAGTGTAAAATCGAGATTGAAAATGCGGAAATACCCAAAACTCGCGCTACAACCACCGGCACGATCGACTTCATCACCAGCTCTGGCCTCATCACACCCATCGTCGCCACTCCAACTCCGGTCTTCATCGTCCCGTATGCCGCTCCCATACCTGCAAAACACACAAAACAAAAGCCGATCAAAATCCTTACGTTTCTTAGATCTGAAATTAAGGAAATTCGGCTACGAATTTGTAGAAACTAACCTGTGGTTTGGAAAGAGGACGGAAAGAGATTCTGGAGATGTCATTTGACGGTCGTTGGTGACCGCTGGACGACAGCTCCGTTGCGTGAAAGAGAAGAGGGAGCGAGGATACGGTAGGGAGGAGAGACGAAGAGGGGAGGGAGGGAGGACAGAGAGGATTAATCACCTTTTTTTTTATTGAAAATTGTTATTACCACTCTTAAAACTTATTTGGCATTTCAAATTTTTTATAGTTAGAAAAAAATACATTTATGAAGAGTACATAATGAGACTTTTAAAGTGCTAATAACAGTTTCTTTTTTATTTTTCATATTTTTTTTAAATTGTAGTTTACACAAAAGGCATGATATCTTTATGAGCAAACTACCGTTTGACCCCTAAACTATTGTACCAGTTAAAATTGATCCCATGAATTATTTTTATGGTAAATTAACCCCCTAGCTATTTTAAATAAGTCAATTAAGGAAAGGGATCCTCTCTGGATCCCTTCCTCCTAATTCACCAAGTCCGGAGATCCGGACCATTAAAATTTGATCAAACGGCTATAAAGAGGGGCCCACTTTAAAAGTTATTATAACTTTTAAAATGGGGCCCTATTTGTAGCCGTTAGATCAAATTTTAATGATCCGAATCTCCAGACTTGATGGATACAGAGAGAATTCATTTCCATCAATTAACCTCTTACCATTACATTTGAAAAAAAAAAAAATCATCTACTCTGCCGTTAAATTTGAGGGTAAAATTGTCTTTTTATTTGTCATCCCCTTTATCTCTTCTACCCTAAAATCTAACCGTTAAGAAGACGAATTTACCCTCAAATCTAACAGCAAAGTAGATGAATTTTTTCAAATCTAACGATGAGGGGTTAATTGGCTGATTTAAAATAGTTTTGGGGGTTAATTTACCAAAAAAAAAATCATGGGGGTCAATTTCAATTGACACAATAGTTTAGGGGTTAAACGGCAATCTATATTTTTATACATGCCATATGAAATGTAAAAAGTGCACAGTGCAGATAATTCAAAAAGTAATTTTATTTAAATAATAACAAATCTTAGGGCACAAAAATTACATATTATTTAAATACACTAAATGTTAAGTCACTACTTAGTATTACAGTCTAGTGGTATTTGTTTTGACTTGTAAGTGAAAGGTATGAGTTTAATTATCGTCAAATGCGACTTCGAACCACATTATTGTTAACTCATTATGAGGCTTAACGCACTCCCCTACTTTCTTAATGTAGTTAATATTTTTCTTTCAAAAATAAAAAAAAAATAAATAAACTAGGGCAAAAAAATTAACTTTTATTTAAATATACTAAATTAAATAGCACAAAACTCCGTATTTTATCATGAGGTTGGAGTTGTAGAGGCTCCTGGTTCGTGAAAGGCTAAATAACCAAAATGGTCCCTGAGATTTGTATAACTCATCACTTTGGTCCCTAACATTTCAAATCAATAAAAGTGGTCCCTGAGATTGTCCACCATCCATCATTTTGATCATTCCGTTAAAAACTCCACTAAGTGTTTCGGAGCTCTTGGCCGGAAGTTTGGGTAATTTTCAAAGCTTCGTAACTCAATCGTTTCTTAACCAAATTCGACTCATAATATATCAAAATAAAGATAGGAAAGTGTAGAATAAGATTATACCTATTTGGAAGCCCAATGGCAGCCGGAGATGGGCAGAAAATAGCCTCAAAGTTGACTGGTTCGAGGGAAAATTGGAAAACTCGTCGGAAACTGGGTAAACTTTGAACGTTCATAACTTCTATGAAATCAAGTGATTCAAAAACGAAAATCATACTTCTTGATGAGACGAAGAGAATGGTACCTTTTTCGATAGCTAACTCTCCGTGGTTTGGCCGGAAAACGGCTCGAAAGTGGCTGTCTTGGTCTCAAGTTAGCCACTTTCGAGCCCTTTTTTGGCCAAACCAAGGCGATTTATCCATCTAAAAAGATACCGTTCTCTTCATCTCGTCGAGAAGTATGATTTTCGTTTTTGAATCACTTGATTTCGTTTAGTATTGAAGAAGTTATGAATGTTTAAAGTTTACCCAGTTTCCGGCAAGTTTTCCAGTTTTCCCTCGGACCTGTCAACTTTGAGGCTATTTTCCAGCCATCTCCGGCAGCCATTGGGCTTTCAAATAGGTATAATCTTATTCTACACTTTCCTATCTTCATTTTGATATATTATGGGTCGAATTTGGTTAAGAAACGATTAAGTTACGAAGCTTTGAAAATTGACCAAACTTCCAGCCAAGAGCTCCGGGACACTTAACGGAGTTTTTAACGGGACCAAAATGATGAATGGTGGACAATCTCAAGGACCACTTTTATTAATTTGAAATGTTAGGAACCAAAGTGATGAGTTATGCAAATCTCAAGGACCATATTGGCTATTTAGCCTTCGTGAAAAAAAATTTGGGCTTCATAAAAAAATTGCCCAGGGAAGTTTGGAGATAGAAGAGAAGTTTGTAATAGTGTATAAACCATGAGAAACATACATGTTATTGCTAAGCTTCTGTAAAGTGTAAACACAATAAAACCATTTTTGTCACACGTTTTATAATATTTAGTTAATACAGTTTCATTATTATAAAGATGGGCACAATGTCATTGTGCTTATAAATCCTATTTATAGACACAAAAAGTCTTTCGTATCTATGTTTTATCAAAAAGTTGTCAAGCCAACGGACACATGTCTCTCTTCGCACGGTCCGTGCCCATTAGTGTTTTGTGTTCATCTTTTCACATTGGACACAATATGGGGTGCCCATTATTGACTAGACATTAATCCACCCTATTTGATGTTCAAAGAGACACGAATTCCTCATTTGTGTCCTTAATTTGTACCCAAGGGCCATTTTTTTTGTATGAAAAATTTGGGCGGTGCTATCTGCACACTCATTTTTACGTCATATACACCTCTTGTTATTTTCTGTCATTTGATCTTCTTCAATTCATTCGATCTGACGGTTGAAAATTAAGAGGTGTGTGTGTGAGGTAAAAAAGAAGTGTATAGATAGCATTACCCTTTCATAAAAGATCATGACTAATTAAAAGTACCAGTAGCAATATCATATAATATATTTAAATATTTATGTGTCACTTGGTACTACGGTCTAGTAGTATTCCTCTTCACTTGTAAGTGAGAGGTCTTAGAGTCAATTCTTGTCAAAGACAAATTTGAACCACCTTATTACTAGTTCATTGTGAGGCCTAGTCCACCACCTTCTCCTTAGTGTAGATAATATCATTTATTAAAATAAATAATAATAATGATGATGATGATGATGATGATGATGATGTTGCAGTCCTATTAGATTAGCAATGTGATTGTGTAAATTCTATTGTATATAGGAATATCTTTGAATATTCATTTTAATAGTTAATATCCTATAAGATTTGTAATCCTATTAGAATAAGGATTTAACTTACCATAATACTATAAATAAAGGCATACAACATACCTCAGAATTACATTTCTCTCTTCTTTCTCTTGCCGCCGGCCCTCTTCCTCTCTAGTCCTAAATACAGTTCAGTAAATTAGACCTATAACAAATAATAATAACTTAAATCACTCACCTAAAGTCCAAAGCTATTTATCAACACTTGGTAGCACGTAGATAGAAGCACTCAGATAGTATCAATGCCTAAGAAAATAATTCAACGTTCTATGAGCACAACACGTTTATGTGGTTACCTTTATAACACGCAAATTGTGATATGGTCCTCACTTGCACGCAAATCGGTGTGCATGTTGCCCGTGACAACACACTATTGAGGAAATGAGAACTTAAATGTGCGAATGACTAAAATGTCTTGCGACCAACCAAAGGTCAAATGACCATTTGAAGTCCAACGACTATTATATTTAGGGATGTGATATCCACACATCTCATTTTACGTTTCACATACATTTTTAATTTTCGGCCGTCGGATCGGATGAATTGAAGAAGATCAACGGACATAAATTATCAAGGGATGTGTAAAAAGTAAAATAGAGTGTGTGGATAGCACACCTCTAAATTTAGTGGTACTACAGAACGAGACTTGTAGCATGTTGACTGAAAAGTTGACTGTTGGGCGAAGTGGCACCGCTAGGGTTATGAAACCCACTCTTGGTCTACACACCTTGGATGTCCATTAGAGAGATTATATTCACATACTTCAAATTACTTCTTTCACATTTTTTTAATTTTTTAATATTTTCTACACACCACTAACACCTGATAGAAAAATATTAAAAAATTAAAAGAATGTGGGAGAAGTAATTTGAAATGTGTGAATATAATCTCATTTTCCATTATGCAAGTTCCATTAGGTCGGTCGTACATCTAACAATATGCTCCATAAGTTTCACCAACATTTTTTCCATTGCAGTGGGAGGTTTAATGGAACGACTTGTTTCCCATTCAGAAAAACAAAAGGAAGGGCTTGTTTCGAAAATCGTTGAGATACTTGGTATGCTAGTAACAATTTTATTTGTTGTAGATTTGAATTCAAATCAATTATCCAAATTAGTTTATGTCTTAAACATTTGGGTTTTAAATGTCAACTCAGGAATCAAACGCATATATGAAATGAAGATTGTCCATGTCGGCTCACTTGCATTTTTAAAGCTCATCTGCGAAGAGATAAATAAAGATTTCGATATGCAACAAATGAGTTATCCCTTTGTGCGTTCGGCAATCTTCCTAGCTGTTAGGAGGGGGAACGTGGAGTTTGTTACTCATATGTGTAAAGCAAATCCTGAACTTCTGATGTTCGGAGATGACAGGTCAAGGGGCTTATTTCACGTTGCCATCGAATGTCGTCAAGAAAAGATTTATAACCTTATATATGGGATATCTACGAAAGACACTATCACAAATCTTGCCGATGAGCATAATAATAACATGCTACATATAGCTGGGTTGTTGTCCCCATCTGCACAACGTAATCATATTCCAGGTGCAGCATTGCAAATGCAGCGTGAACTACAATGGTACAAGGTTAGAATTTCTCACTCAGCATAGTTCTTAATTACTTTGCCTATATTACAGTACTTACACAATCTAAAAGAAGTTGTAAAATTAACACAATCTTAAAGCCTTTAATACGTAAATGTTAAAATTGAAACATTGTGATCAATTTTGAATACCATGTTCAGATCTTGGAGTGTAAAATGTAGTTAACCCTAATATAACAAAGATTATAGAAAATTATATTTTATGCTCTCATATATCAGTAGTTGTTCAATGCAATGCAGGAAGTAGAGACTATTGTACCTCCTAAGTTTCTTGAGTGTATGAACTTCAATGAAAATTTGAAACCAAGGGAACTATTTACAAAGAATCACAGTGAATTGCTAAAGGAAGGAGAAAAATGGATGAAAGAGACGGCAACTTCTTACACTGTTGTAGGTGCTCTTATTATCACCATCATGTTTGCTGCAGTAATCACAATTCCTGGAGGAAATGGAGATACCGGTTTTCCCACATTCATCGATGAAAAATTGTTTATGTTATTTATAATTTCAGATGCTATATCACTCTTTTCTTCCACGACTGCAACATTGACGTTTCTTGGAATTCTCACGTCACGTTTCGCAGAAGATGATTTCCTGAAATCCTTACCCACAAAAATGATAATTGGTCTTGCCACTCTCTTTTTCGCTATTGCAACCATGATGGTTGCGTTTTCCGCTGCCCTTCTAATTATAGTTCGTGGACATTCTTGGATTGTGATTCCGACCATACTTCTTTCAAGTGTTCCAGTCACTTTATTTGCTGGGATGCAATTCCCCCTCCTAGTTAGAATTACCGTTTCTACTTACGGAAAAGGAATATTTAATAGGAATGTGAAACGTTGGTTGTAAAGGTATTTCATTATTTTATATTTCTTATTGTATCTGTTTATGTGAGATTCCAAAATTAGAGGTGTAACTAATTCGATGGATTATATATTAAGAAATAAATTGGTGGTATATGTAGAACCTCTCATTTACAAATGAAGAGGAACACTACTAAACTGTATTACTAAATGATGTCTTGTTTTAGTGTATTGCATGATTCGTTTTTATTGTATGATGAATGATTTGATTGTAGTTACTACATTACAGGTTCGAATAAGAACCATACAATGCACCCAACAGGATGAACACATGAACTAATCATTCAGATTATCCCATCATCCTTAATATATAATCCATAAATGAAAGTTTAAGCACTATGATGTTGAACATAGATCTATCAATCACAGTATGAACTGAAAGTTTTTCAACCTGATGCACTCGACGATAGATCTTGTCTCAACCTCTAATGTCACAGACAGTAGAGGTTTAACCATATAATGCACGCCATGGCTCCCGATCATCTTTTGATTTTCTTGTTGGATTCCACGTGATCTTGTCTCTTGAAAAGGAAAGGTTCAAAGTGCTTGCTAAAAGTTCTCCAATCTCATAAAGTATCTGAAAAAAATCCATCTAGAGTTAGACGATATACATACACTCGGGAAACATTCAGTGTCCACTGACCTCATACCACACCCTGAACAGTTTCAACCTCTTCCCACCACTGCACCGTCTCAACCTGCCCCAAACACTGCACAGTATCATCCTGGCCACATTACTTCTGTTGTCACCTCAAGCCCTAACCCTACTACCCTAGTGTCATCCTCGTCTGTGTCATCAACCATACCTTCATGTGAACAAGTTGAAATATCTACGGAATCAGTCCCAGTGGTGTCAGGTTCTACAGGCCATCGTGTTACTACACGTTCCCAGTCTGGTATTCACAAACCAAACCCAAAGTATGCCATGCTTGTGACTATTAATAATTCTCCTAGTGAGCCAACTTGTTTCAGTCAAGCTGTCAAATCCCAGGATTGGAGGAATGCAATGGTACAAGAATTTAATGCTTTGCAACGGTATGGAACTTGGCGTTTGGTCCCGTTTCATCCAAAAATGAATTTACTACCAAACAAATGGGTTTTCAAATTGAAGAGACATGCAGATGGAACAATTGAACGTTACAAGGCGCGGCTTGTCGCCAATGAATTTCATCAAAAGGCTGGTATAGATTATAATGAGACTTTCAGTCCCGTGGTTAAACATAGTACAATTTGACTTGTTTTAAGTCTTGCAGTTACAAGAGGTTGGCGTGTGAGGCAGCTTGACGTCCAAAATGTGTTTTTGCATGGTTTCTTGACCGAAACAGTGTACATGCGCCAGCCTCCGGGTTTTGTTGATCAGCAGTTACCTAATCATGTTTGTAAACTTGAACGCAATATTTATGGCCTCAAACAGGCTCCTAGGGCCTGTTTCAGCGATTCTCAGATTTTCTGCTTCAACTTGGTTTTCAGGAATCCACTTGTGATTACAGTTTGTTTGTGTTCAATCACAAAGGGGTGTATCTTATTCTTCTCATCTATGTGGATGATATTTTGGTAACTGGGAACAGTCCTCGTCATATGTCCAAGTTAATTACGAAGTTGAGTACTTTGTTCTCCATGAAGGATTTGGGAGGGTTGAATTACTTCTTGGGTGTAGAAGTCAAGTACGATGGAACTACCATGCATTTGTGTCAATCTAAGTATGCTCTCGACTTGTTGTCCCGTACCAAATTTACTAAGGCTAAACCAATTTCTACACCAATGTCTTCTGGTCAGAAACTAAGTGCTCATGATGGCGACCCTTTTGATCAACCAGAGTTGTATCGTAGTGTCGTAGGTGCTCTACAATACTTGACAATAACTCGCCCAGACTTATCTTATGCAGTTAATCAAGTCTGTCAATTTATGCCTGCTCCAACAACGGTTTACTGGATGGCAGTCAAACGAATTTTACATTACTTGAAGGCTACGCATAGTCATGGTCTTCTCTATAAACCAGGTACTGCTCATCTTTCTGCTTTCTCTAATGCGGACTATGCTGGGAATCCAGACACTCGGCATTCTACTGGTGGGTTTTGTATTTATCTTGGTTCAAACCTGGTGTCCTGGAGTTCCAAGAAACAGAAAACAGTTTCTCGTTCGAGTTCTGAGGCCGAGTACAGGCAACTTGCCTACACAGCAGCTGAAATTTCATAGTTGCGATCGTTATTCCGAGATTTGCAGTTACATCTTATACTGTAGAAAAAGATGTATAGGGTAAAAGTATATTTCATTGATACGTGAATAAGAAATATATACAAGTACATTCCTTGCTCTACAAGGCATAATCCCTGCAAACTAGGAATACAATCACAATTAGGATTACAATCATATCTATTACTTTGACTAGGATTCTATTGTCTAACAGTCCCCCTCAAGTTGGAGAGTGAATGTCAAGAACACCCAACTTGCACATCAAAGTTGTAAACTTGTCTTTCCCAAGAGGCTTAGTGAACAAATCTGCTAACTGGTGTGCCGTACCCACATATTTGGTTGCTATAGTGCCATCTGCAATCTTATCCCGTATGAAGTGACAATCCATCTCTATGTGACAAGTCCGCTCATGAAAGACGGGATTAGCGGTTATGTGCAATGCTGCTTGATTATCACAAAATAACACGGAAGGACCTTCTAAAGAAACGTTCAAATCCTTCAATAAATGTCGAAGCCAAACTAACTCATAACAAGCACCTGCCATAGCCCTATATTCTGCCTCAGCTGAGGAAAGCGACACGGTTTTCTGTCGCTTTGTTCACCACGAAATTAAAGTTTCCCAAGAAAACACAATACCCAGTAGTCGAACGGCGAGTGATAGGACAACCTGCCCAGTCAGAGTCAAAAAATGCAGCTAGCTTGGTCTGGTTGTCAGAACGAAATAATAAGCCTTGACCTAGAGTAGATTTCAAATAATGAACAACACAAAGCACAGCATCCATATGAGAGATACGAGGCTCGTGCATAAACCGACTCAAAACATGCACGGAATAAGTGATATCTGGCCGAGTTATGGTAAGATAAATCAACCTTCATACTAAGCGCCGATATTTTTCAGGATCCTTGAGAAGTTCTCCTTGATCAGATAATTTTGTATCATCCATAGGGAAAGCAATGGGACGTGCCCCCAGAAAACCATAATCCTAAGAATCTCCAATGCATACTTTCGTTGTGAAATATAAATGCCACGTTGAGATCGAGAGACCTCAATACCTAAGAAATATTTTAATTCACCAAGGTCTTTTAACCGAAAACGATCACGGAGAAAAGTCTTGAGAGAATCTATAGCTCTGAGATCGTTGCCTGTAATCACAATATCATCCACATAAATAAGTAATGCTGTAAAAGAAGTACCGGACTTTCTGGTGAACAATGAATAGTCAGCCTTTGATTGTTGAAAACCAACGGAAAGAATGGCAGTAGTGAATTTTGCAAACCATTGGCGAGAAGCTTGCTTAAGACCATATAGAGATTTATGGAGGCGATACACAAGATTCTCCCCCTGTCGCCGAAGACCAGGAGGAGTAGACATATAAATTTCCTCATGTAAGTCACCGTGCAAAAAATCATTATTAACATCAAGCTGATGAAGAGACCAAGACTGGCTAGCAGCGAATGCGAGAAGACAACGCACCGTAATCATCTTAGTAGTAGGAGAGAAAGTGTCATGATAATCAATACCTTCAGCCTGAGTGTAACCTTTGGCAACTAAGCGAGCTTTGTAGCGGTCGATAGAACCATCAGAATTATACTTCAATTTGTAAACCCACCTACAACCAATAGGAACTTTGCCAGGTGGCAAGGTAGTCATGGTCCAAGTACCATTAGCATGTAATGCTTGAAGCTCCACAGTCATGGCACGACGCCAATGAGGATCACTGGCAGCCTCGGCAAATGAGGAGGGCTCCACATGCTGACTAACAGAATATATATAGGAAAGATGCTGGGGAGAATAACGGTGATAAGAAATAAAATTACAAATGGGATATCGCGTACCTTTTATAGAACTGGGTTGCGAAGTGGAAGATTGGTGTGGTGGCAGAATCACCTGCGAGCAAACATAGTCCTTTAAATAGGATGGGGTTTTATAGGTACGGGAAGAGATGCGAGGGGTGGGGGGAAGGTCAGAAGGAGAGGTGAGCGTGGAGGTGGTGGGGTCCGGGGGTAGGTGGGTGGAACTAGAGGGGGAAGCGGTGGAGGGAACAGGTGGGGCCGTGGCTATAGTGGTGGAAGGATGGACATGGGATGTGTCGTCAGGAGAGGGAGTCGGGGATGAGGTGGCAGGAGGTGCAGTAGGTGGGTGTGACGTAGTGACAGGGAGTGGGGGATAAGGAAGGTCCAGAGAAGAAGGAAGAGGCAGGGTAGGAGTGGGTGAAGCGGTATGGGTGGGTGGAAGAGTATAAGGGAAGGAATCTTCATGGAAAATTACGTCCCGACTTGTGAAGATGCGGTGAGTGGCTAGGTCATATAGTTTGTATGCCTTTTGGGCAGGAGGGTAACCAAGGAAGATGCAACGATGGGCTCGAGGGGAAAATTTAGTGGGTGGAATGACAGAGGTGGCATAGGCTAAACAACCAAAGACGCGGAAGTGATCATAGGTGGGGACTTTGTTATGGAGGATCTCAAAGGGAGATTTATTGTGCAGAAGACGAGTGGGAAAACGATTGATTAAATAAGCAGCGGTAAGGATACATTCACCCCAAAATTTGAGAGGAAGATGGGACTGAACGCGGAGTGCGCGGGCGGTTTCTAGGAGGTGCCTATGTTTGCATTCAACAACGCCATTTTGTTGAGGGGTATAGACACAAGAAGTTTGAAGTAAAATCCCATTAGCGGAAAAAAAAGGACGAAGAGAAAGAAATTCGCCGCCATTGTCAGTACGAATGCATTGGATATGAGTATGGAATTGGGTATGGACATAAGCAAAAAAATCCTTGATTAATTGTTGAGTATCAGATTTATGTTTCATGAGAAAGACCCACGTAAAGCGAGAAAAATCATCCACAATGGTTAAAAAATAATGAGCTCCAGAAAGGGAAGATTGACAATTCGGACCCCAAATATCACAATGAATTAAAGCAAAAGGAAAAGTTGTTGAAATTGAACTTAAACCAAAAGGTTGACGGGTTTGTTTCGCCAAAGGACAAACATCACAAACATGACTAGAATCAAAAGAACAATTTAAAAATTTAGAAGCTAAAACTTGTAAACGAGGAGAGGAAGGATGACCAAGGCGCCTATGCCACAGGGAAGATGGGATGGTGATGACATGGCAGAGGGGCTGACAGGAGGGAAGGGAAGAGGCAAGGGCCACAAGGTAATATAGGTCGCCACGTCGCTTACCCACACCAATCATCGCCTTCAAAACCAAGTCCTGCAAAACACACCAAGTGGGAAAAAATGTTACGGAACACGATAATCCATCTGTAAGCTT